CGAGCCTACGGGCTCGGAAAACCCACGTAAAACTCAGCCTTGTGCCACATCTTTCTGTCGTGTGTGTGGGGGGGGAAGTAAATATCGAATCGAGTCGAACCGATAGTAGTTCACTTCAAACCAGTCTGACAGTCATACTAACACCTTCCACATCTTGTATTATTATTTCGTGTAATATACCTTCGTAATTTCTACTCTTGTGTTCGTGTTGTTCTTCCTTGGTACTAACCTGGACCATAACAAACTGAAATAATATATATATATATATATATATATATATATATATATATATATATATATATATATATATACATAAGTGTGTATCGTGAATGGCGCATAATTGAAGTGAAATAAACTTTGAAATTCTGTGAGAGTGAAATTTGTCGAGGGCAAAGCTTTATAATCGTAAAAAAAGGGACTGTTTTTCTATTTACACCGCTATTACTGTATAATACCCCGTTGTTGTTTAAAAAAAATCCATCTTTAGAATTTTAATAAAACCTAAACATACGAATCTGGATTGATGCACCGATCCACTGTTATTTTCTCAAGAACTGACAACAAAAATGTTAAACATTTATTTACAAGAAGTTTTATATTTACAAGTTTATAGAAATGTGTGAACCAACTAAAATTCAATATTCATTATCTACCATCTTATCAAGAAATAAATATGCAAACACTTTTTGAATCATAAATTTTTGCAGAAATATCTCTGGACAAGAGAACAAGAAAATTTAAATAAAAACCTAAATTCATTTTTCCGGCATTTCTTTCATTTGCTTTTGACAAATAAATTCACAAAAATATGCATTTCTTTCCCGGGGAACAACAGCACTATTTATTAGATTGTTTATTTGCAATAATAATTTGAAAAAGTTGACCAAATGTACCTACAAAAAGAGATCGCAGACATTGGAAGCTGTGTTAAGAAAAAAAACGAGTTCTTTTCAAACACTACCTTTGTGGATATGCTTGTTAAACTTTGACATTTCTTTGGGCTTTTTTTCCCTTTTTACAAATGGCGCTGTAACAAAGTTGATGTGACATTTAAATAAAATCAAAACTTGAAGTGAAGATATAATTATTTATTGAAATGAAAATTATTAGAAATTTGTTGTATAAACATATGTCGTAAATTGTAGGAGAAACACGCCAATACAAGGATGGAGAAAAGTTTTATTCGTCAAAAATCGTCAAAATATATCCCCATGAATAGAAAGGTATTACATTCACTTACGTGTAAATACCCTTGGGAAAGGTATGAATCTAACTCTCTCCCCAATTCAATGATAAATAGTAGGACAGAGTGGGTTCTATAGCCTTGGGTGGCAACTGATCTGAGAAGGAAAGCTCTATATAGCCCTGGCGAAGCACAAAATATGCAAATAAAAAAAGGATTGTTCACATTGACTCAATGATCTCGAATACGTTTGAATAGACTGAAAGAGTAATAATAATAATGATAATATATATATATATATATATATATATATATATATATATATATATATGCACATTTCATTGAATACGACAGACAAGGTGCTTTTATTTAATTTTTTTTTTAAATTTCTCATGCGATCAAATAATTTTTTTTTCTTTTCAGATGATAAATAATATAAAAACTGTCCGAATATTCTTTTTATCCAAGCGCTTTCGGCTATACATTTAGCCATTTTCAGGGATTAAATATTTTAACTGTTAAATAAGAAATAGTTTGTTGCATGTATGTATTTATATAATGTTTTCATTTTTCAAAACACGGTCAAGATATTGTGTCCATGTTCATAGTAAATTTTATTAAGTGTTGGTTAAGGTATATATATATATATATATATATATATATATATAAGTGAACATTGAAGTCAATAGTCAGAGGCGACAGGTATTTCATGCTAGACGAAATCGTCGGTCTGACGATATAGTAATGAATAGCTGGCCTCTCGTACTCGTCTCTTAGGGTGGCTAGCCAATCTCTATTGGAGACGCTCGCTCAGGCACATTTGTGTTTGTTCAACACCCAACCTGTGGTTTTTACTGCAACTATTATTTACCTAACGTGTCCTTCCCTATTTTTCTACATATTTGCACACACACGTAAATATAGATATAGATATAAAATTGCAAACTTTCGGTGGAAAAATAAAAAAACTGCCTCCAATGAGATTCGAACTCACGACCCCTGGTTTACGAGACCAGTGCTCTCAACCACTGAGCTATGAAGGCATATATCCCAGAATGGATTTATATATATATATATATATGGCTTCATGCCATTTTCCGCGGATCAGTTTTGGAAAAAAAAACACTAACATCACATAGATTTTACATAGGAAGTTGTGGATAAACTGTCCAAAGTTCATATTTTGTTATTTTTGTTCAAGTACTTTTGATCATCGCAGTCATTATCAGTCCTTCATCAAGAACTGATGTAGTACCTTTGTGGTAGCTAGAATTCCTTTGTCTGCATCCTGGTATTCTTTGGGAAGATGGACGTTTGAAATTGTATGAAGTGACGTCATGTGTAACGATTATAGGAATCCAGGCCGCACAAGAACTCTGATTTATTTGTTACTTTATTTCTTTACTTATACTTTTTGTTATACCATTATAATATATGCATATTAATTACATCACATTATAATATATGCGCATATTACACAATTTATATTATTCGGACTATTGCCCTCATCTTTGTCGCCATGTTTATTACAACGGTTCGGCCTTCTCCAGGTGGTTGGAATGTCGAACTGAATGTTTTATTTCGCTCACTGGGGTAGACTGTTCTAGTTCCACGTACCATGTTTAATGGGTGTCAGTTATCAGTTGTTCCCCTCTGCAAATTCTCCACTGATTGAAATTACACTCTTTGGGTCCTGTCACTGGATCTAACCAACGTCTTTATCCACTGTGCCATGTGTCCTTGAGGACATCTGGGTATGAATTTCTGGGTATTATAAACCTAATTTCTTCAGTAACCATTTTTTACCAGTGCACATATTGCAATTTTTACTGTTATCATTTCATATTTTTACCAGAGCTCATATTGCAATTTTTGTTGTTACTATCGCTTTTCTCTGGCACTCCTTATTACTGGTTCCCATATTGTATTTATTTCTATGCTTGGTCGACTCAGGAGATTTTTGTGGCCTAGCATATGTGCTGATTCATTAAGTTTACGAATTTTCCAATGGTGTTCTTTGTCTATGATCTCAACCTGATCCCACAGAGGGCGGTGATCTCCCTTCTCTCTCCATATGTGGTCAGCCACGCCTGGTTTTTCCACTTCCCCTTGTGTTACATCACATTATAATATATGCTCATATTAATTACATCACATCTACTTCAAGAAACCGTCTCCTCTGGTAAATGATATTTTATTTAATGTCAGTTGTTTATTTTGTATACTAATAGCTTCTAGAGTTTTGAGTCTTTACTTATATTGGGTGATATAGAGCAGGGGTCGGCAACCTATGGTACGCGGGCCACACGTGGTACGCCAAGCAATTTCCAATACCACCCAGCCTCAAATGACATCACGAAGTCCGAATCAATAACTACTACAACGCAAAGAAGATATTTAGCTGTTTCAGTTTTAATATATACTAAAGTATTTTTTTAATGTTTATACGTTATTTTATAGATACAAATATTTAAGTAAATGCTCTGTTTATAATAAACAGTATTAACAACATTTACCGGCCTGAATGTCCGAGAAATTTTCATAGAAAAATATGTGTCCTCCGAAAGGAATCGAACTTGTATCTTATACGGAACCGTCATATAGCCTGACGTGCTTTGCCGATTTAGCCACAGAGGAGCGTTTCGGTTAGGAAAGTCGATTTTGCTGTTTTTAAACTACAATTCTCCATTATGTTTATACGTTTTTTTATAGATATAAAAAAATGTCTTAAAATAATTGTCGCTCTTTGTCCATTTCATAATGTGTGACGTCATTTGTTTATATTTGAATACGCATCGAGCAGATAAGAATGTACGAGAGAAAATCATGAAGAATTGTAGATTAAAAACTTATAGGATACAGGTTCGATTCCTGTCGGAGGACGCATATTTTCTATAACAATTTCTCGGACATTCAGGTCGGTAAATGTCGTTAATACTGTTTATTATAAACAGAGCATTTATTTAAATATTTGTATCTATAAGAAAGAATGTTTAAACATAAAAAATGTCTTAAAATAATTTTCGGACTTTGTCCATTTCATAATGATACTAAATATTACTATATAAAATATCTTGTAGAACAGGTATATTGACCTTGACTCGTATAAAAATACGTATGATTAATGATTTTAAAACCCTAACTCGTCACATAGTTAACAAAAGGTTGCAGATCCCTGATATTTTGGTGTTATCCACTAATATTTGTCTCATGGTGATAGTTGTATTTTGGTCGTCCATGTTGTGTTGGTCAATGTGTGTTTGTATTCAACATATAACTGATCAGTCTACGTACGAGAGTGTATGATACATGTCTGCCTGATGTAATTATTTAATACTGTTTTTTTTATTATTATTGTTAACGTTGGAGATGCAATCTCCCGGGGTGCTTTAAAATAAATACTTATTGAAGTCTGAAGGTTTAGCTGATGCAAGATAGCAATATCGATATGCGTAGCTAGGTTAAAAATCGGTTCGTTCTGCGCACATGTACAAATACGTCAGCCATTTGTATGCGAAATCTTGAATTTTCGAAGTCTTAAACACGAACGTAGACATGAGTCCGTACCCTTAACTGCAGTCCCACCATACCTCAGGACGCATTACAAATACACTTATTTTATCTATTTGTTTGTTTTTCAAAGTTTGGAATTTTCCCGTACGCGAGATCTCGCTAACCTTCGGAGGTCAGAAGCTAGCGTGTGATCTCGTCTGTGTGTCCGCCTGACTTGAATGCCGACCAGTGGAGTGACGCCGGCGGCGGCGGGTAGAGGGTCTGATTGGTCGCTAGTCATGTCCGTTTATGACAGCGGTGACTGCCTTTTTTCTTGCCAGGTCCAACCGGAATACTTGTTCCGTTTGCCGATTGCTTTGTGTTCCTTTTGGTGCATGCCGGGAAGTACCTTGGGAATTCATCTCAGTCGCAACACGCGTGACATTGCGAGACCTCGCCGAGAGCTGTCAATAATGGCTTGTGCGATGCGAAAGAGATATTTCGACTTTGGTGTTTTCCCTCTCTCTGCTCGAATATATTCATGCTGGGATATATATGCGTGTACGCAAATGTGTGCGGTTGTGTCTTTCTACATTGTATACCTCTTCAGGCATAGATGTTATTTATGCACGCCAAACATGAAGAGGATCGGAGAAGTGAGCATGCGTGCCTTATAATGACTAGCTGATCTCTGCTGAGACCGTCTCTCGCAGGGCGCTGCTTCATTAATGTCACTTTGTGCCAAATAACTAGTCAAATACAAATTGTTATATATATATATATGTGTGTGTGTGTGTGTGTGTGTGTGTGTGTGTGTGTGTGTGTGTGAGAGAGAGAGAGGAAGGGAAAATAGATAAGAACAGACTAAGATAGATAGCAACAAAGTTAGATAGATAGATAGATAGATAGATAGATAGATAGATAGATAGATAGATAGATAGATAGATAAGGATAAATTAAGATAGCTATACAGATCATTTAAAGAAACTGAGACTTATATAGTAGATATGAACAGATAGATCGATAGAGAATTAACACGCTTAGATAGATAGATAGATAGATAGATAGATAGATAGATAGATAGATAGATAGATTTTTGCCAAATAACTAGTCACACACAAATTGTTATATATATATATATATATATATATATATATGTCTACCTACAGACAAACATATACACATATATATATACACGTATACACACATATACATATATATCTATATATACACATACATATACTCATACGTATATGCATATATACACATACAGAAGCAAGCATAAATATATCAACCCACACAGCAACATAAAAAGTAAACAAACCAAATATATATATACACATATATATATATATATATATAGAGAGAGAGAGAGAAACACACAAACATACATATATACACACATACACATACACAAACACACGCCTATATATAAAAAACTCATACAAACGCAAACTTAAACACACACACATATATACATATATATACACATACATACACACACACACACACACACACACATATATATACATATATATATACACACATAAATAGACATACATACATAAACCTACACATATTCTAACAATATTTTCTTATTAACCATAAAGTACAGTAAAGTCCATACAATATTAAAATATAACGAGACACAATTGTTGATTATTAAGTCTCTATGCAATTATAAAAAAATTATCAAACAAAAGTAGATTTTAGTTAGTACTAGCAGCATGGCCCGGCGTTGCCAGTGCTTGATTCAAAAACCGTACGACTCATCGCTATCACTTGACTTAAAATATTTTTGCCCTTCCTTACCTTTAAAGAAGTGCCCTTTGCCGTGCCGATGTTGCTACATGCCTTACTTCTTGCCTATCTCACACTGCGAATTTTTTCTAAGCTTTATACTAAACATTAAATCTGTTACGAAAAAACAACTAAACAAAATGAACATAAAACGATCAGCTTTAAAAAAAGGACTCGTAACTGGAAAAACCGAATGAAAAAAGAATGTTAACAGCAAATACTTTTTCACACCTAAACCCAGTTCTGCGGAATCAGAATCAACATTGTGTTTAAGCAAGCGAATGAGCCAATTGGAGTAAAGTGCCATGCAGATTTAAATTTTTCCCACTTGTGACGAATGCAGCTATCGATTTTTTTTTTTGCATGCTAGCATGCTAGTTAACATTCGTGTCAGTCAGCTGTTGGCTCTCATGCTGGCCAATAGAATCTTCCTGCCTATTCGTGGCAGCCGGTTATAGGCTCTCACTCTGGCCAGTAGAAAATAGCCGCAAACTACATGAAAACTGCCATAGAAGCATGAATAAATTGATTATTTCCACTATCGATGGGAGTTGGGAAATGCAAAGTCGGTCTTGTCCTTCCCGCTAACTTGGATCACATGCATTCGTTACACATACACACACATATCCTGCCTTTTATAGAGAGAGATTATTTATATTGCGAAAAGGAGGGGGGCGTGCGTCTTCGAAAATTGCTTTTTTTTTCAATGCAAATTATTCATCATATCATATCCAATTTTTTTACAAAACCTTACTCAATATTACACAATAAGATTGGCTGCAAGGTCTCAACATTTTACAGTTGAAATGGCGAGGTGTAATCGTAAGTCCTATGCTAATAGTTTCTTCTCTCGCACTTCTTGCTTGTGGAACTCTCTTCCGGCTTCTTGCTTCCCAGACAACTTTGATCTACACACACACATCTTGCCTTTTATAGATAGAGATTGATGATACATTCGAAGACACTAAGATATACATACATATACATATACGAAGACCTACGCACATACATCCACATATACATATATATAAACATGTAGAAATACCCATATATACACATCCACATATACACATATATATGTATGCACACATACACATATATATATATATATATATATATATATATATATATATATATATATATATATATATATATATACATACACCCTCACATGTAGACATATATCTAAGTTTACATACCTACATATATGCACAAACAAGCACATATATGATAGGGGTCAACACAAACATACACATACATATACAAACACTCACACACACACTCACACACACACACACACATATATATATATATATATATATATATATATATATATATACATATAACTCACATAAGTAGAAATATATTCGTATATAGACATAAACACATACACATTCAACCATTTTTCGATTAAATAATTATATTTGCTCTACTCTGTATTGAGCAATCTTTTAAGAATATTTAAGAATAAATATTTATTGGTTATTGGAATTTATTCCGTATACACCAATCCTATACTTATATATATATATATATATATATATATATATATATATATATATATATATATATATATATATATATATATAGCATTTGCCAAATTATATTTAAAAATCAGACAATTTAAAAGGCTAGAATTTCTAATATTTAATTAACGGATTTTATGAGTATGTATTCATACTACCCTATTTTCTGCTTTCTTTCTTTCTCTTTCTTTCTTTCTTTCTTTCTTTCTTTTATGCCAACCATCTTTCTTTCTTTATACTTCCTATTTTCTTTCTTTCTATTTCTTTTATACTAACCATCTTTCGTGCTTTCTTTTTTTTCATACTACCTATTTTCTTTCTTTTTCATTCTTTTTCTTTATTTCTATCTCTTTCTTTTATACTAACCTTCTTTTGTTCTTTTTTTTCACTCTTTCTACATACTGTACTATTTTTTCTTTGTTTTATACTAAACTTCTTTCTTCCTTTCTTTCTTTCTTTCTTTCATACTACTCTCTGTTCTTTTCTCTTTCTCTTTCTTTCTGTCTTTTACGTTAAACTTCTTTCCTTTCCTCTTTCTTACTTTCTTTCCGTGTGCCTTATTTTCTTTCTTTGTTTCTTTTAGACTAAACTTCTTTCTTTTTTTCTTTCTTTCTTTCATTCTTTCTTTCGTTTATACTCACAATCTTTCTTTTTCTTTCTTTCCTTATTTATTTCTTTTATACTAAGTTTCTTTCTTTGATACTCACCTTGTTTTTTTCATTCTTTCTTTTATACTCAAATTCTTTCTTTCTTTTACTTTCTTTCTTTCTTTATATTAAACTTCTTACTTTTATACTAAACGTGTTTCTTTTCTTTTTTTCTTTCTTTCATTCTTTCATCCTCAAATTCTTTCTTTTTTCTTTATTCATTCAGTCTTTTTTAAACTCACATTCTTCCTTTCTTTTTTCTTTTTTTCTTTCTTTCTTTTTTCTTTCATTCTTTTACACTTAAATGCTTTTTTCTCTTTGTTTCTTTATTTTATACTAACCTTACTTTTATATCAAACCTGATTCTTTTTCCTTCCTTTTTTTCTTTCTTTCTTTCCTTTATACTAACCACTTTTTCCTTTCTTTCTTTTATACTCAAATGCTTTCTTTCTTTTTCTTGTATACAAACCTTCTTGCTTTTATACTAAACTTTGTTTCTTTTCTTCTTCGTTCTTTTCTTTGTTTCTTTCATTCTTTCTTTCAACTCTTGAGCGACTGTTCGGTTCAACTCTCTGTCTACGGACGGAGCGGAACCCGAAGGAGGCTACGCCGAAGGGCGGAGTCTCCTTCGGGGAGGTAAATCGGCCCTGAACCCCGTTTATACGGGTTCAAATGGGCCTGTTTTTTGCCGAGCCTAATGGCTCGGAAATGCCCACGTTAAAACGGCCTTGTGCCACATGACGCCCTCGTGGGGGGACGACTAAATATATTCATTCTTTCTTTCTATTATACTAACCTTCTTTCTTTAATTCATTCTTCTTTTTATACTCACATTTTTTCTTTTTTTTCTTTCTTTCTCTTTTATACTTTCTCTGTTTTATACTAAACTGTTTTCTTTCTTTCTTCTTTTCTTTCTTTCTTTCTTTCACACTCTCTTTCTTTCTTTCTTTCTAACTTTTATACAAACTTGCCTCCTTTCTTCTTTTCATTCTTTCTTCCTTTTTACTCACATACTTTCTTTATTTTTCTTTGTTCCTTTCATTTACACTAACCGTCTTTCATCCTTTATTTTATATTAACCTTATTTTATACTAAACTTATTTCTTTCTTTCTTCTTCCTTTTCTTTCTTTCTTTCTTCCGCCTTTTCTTTCTTTCCTTCTTTCTTCCTCCTTTTCTTTCTTTCTTTCTTTCTTCCTCCTTTTCTTTCTTTTTTTTCCCCTGCATTTTACCTACATTGTTTCACTGAAATGCAAGCAGTTATTCTAATCCGTTATTTCTGGCTAGGTGATTATTTGATGGAATTTTTACGAAATTATCTTCTTTTTTATTGTTTCGAGGGCTTTTTTTTTAATTATTTTTATTTTCATATGGTCTTTGCTAATAGGGGATATATTTTTTCACAAAGAGTTTCATGTTCGCCTCCTGCGCATAATTTTCTATTCATGTTTGCTTCAATATATATATATATATATATATATATATATATATATATATATATATTCAGGTTTTTTTATATATAATAGTTTTTTTTTATAATAATAGTTTTTTCTGCACATTTACTGACAGACCTAAATAAGACATTTTTTTTTTTTTTCAGTATATCGTGCAATGTTCTTTTCCCTAATTGGAGCTGACATATTCTTTTTCAGGACGGGAGGAACAAACTTTCCGAAATGGAAAACTGTCGGCGAAATTTTGGAGTTTTTACGAATCGTGTGAAACCCGGATGTTAAGGAGACGGTTGGGTGAGGAGCCGAAGGTGACTGAACGTAAGAAACCAGAAAATAAACACAAGAAAAGAAACGAAAAAGAAAATAATTCCTTCCTTTCTTTAGAAAATGATTTGTTTTGTTTTGTTTTTTGTCTGTTTTTTTTTTTAACGACAAATCAACTACTTTATGGGTCATCTCATGCCGAAATTTAACTTTCTTGGGAGTATTAAAATTATGATATATTACATATATTTTTACATAGCCATCTTCGCATGGACATGATTACTAGAGGCAGTGATATGCGTTTTTTTATGTTGTAGCTTTGTTGAAGTTATATTTTGATATTGCAAGATATTATATGGACTAATGTCATGCAAGAGATCTTTCATAGTTGTTTGTTTGATTTTGTTTGGCGACATATCAACCTGTATGAATTTTTTAATGCCGAAATTTAAATATTTTGTACATAATTTTATACTTTAAATTTACTGGAAGGAGTTTTCATTTTGAAATTTCTAAAGTTGCTAATTTTAGCGCCATTTGTAGTCATCACAATGGCTCTTTATTAAATCACTCTTTATTAAAAATCTTTCAAAAATAAAATATACTTTTCTGAAACTTTATTTGAGAAATATTACCTCATTTTAAGTTTAACTTGTCTGATTTGAAACAAATATTACTAACTTTTTGTTCAAAATATAGCAGAAATACATTTTTAACACGGCGGTAGTTGTTTATTTAAGGTTTTGACAGCTTGACTGACAGGCGGAAGTTTATCTAATTTTTGTCTTATGGTGTACATAATTTTATACTTTCAAGGTTTCAATGTCTTCTAGATATATATTTTATAGACCATAAAATGTACTGTTGGTAATTTTACTATAAAAATGTACTGTTAATTTTCTTGGAAGGATTGAAGTAATAAAAATGTTATATATGTTATTCTGCTTTCACAGTTGAATACATGGTAGATGATACTCAGCTTTTATTCATATACATGTTTGCGGGGACATGATTACTAGAGGCGGTGATTTTTGTGATTTATGTTCTAGTTTTGTTGAAATTTGATTTTGGAATAGAGTTTGATTTCTTCAAGAAATTGTACAATATTGTCATGAAAGAGTTCTTTTATGTTGGTTGGTTGATTAATTTTGTTTGGCAGCATATCAACTTTTAGGCGTTATTTAATGCCGGAATCTAGATATTTTGAACACAATTTTATAGCTTCAAGTAAATATATTTTGAACGTAGTTGTATCCCTTCAACTACAGATAAAATCTATTGTTGATCATTTTTATATAAAATGTATTGTTTGGAATTCTATTATAAGATTTATTGCTAATCATTTCGCTTTAAAATTGTATTGCTGGTAGCTTTACTATGAATAGGTATTGCTGGTATTTTTACTATAAAAAGGTATGTTTATACTATCATAGAGTTTTGATATTGATTATAGTTGGGACACTAAAAGGTGCTACGAACCCGGGTCAGAGTAACAACAGTAATTAATGTGGGGGTGGGGGTGAGGGGGTCAGTACTTCCCAAAACCTCTAATATCCCGATCAAAGGCCTTTCTGCCGGATGTATTCTGTAGAAAAAAAAACAAAAGAAAAGGAGATAATGTTATAAAGAAAACAAATGCCAATATATATTGTTGTGGTAGGATCCACCTAATTTGCATAGTGGAGTACCGACCATATAAATATGGTTGGTACCGGGAAGAGAGGAAGGAATCAAGAGATTGAACCAGAGACTCTCCCCGACTGCGACTCAGTCAACACATTCTCCAGGAACGGTCTTACCAGGAATATACAAAAGATTATATGTAAATATTTTGTACACTTTCTTGTTTCAATACATTTTGTTCTAAGTGCATTTTGTGTTGCATTATTATTCCATGCATTAGTCAAGTTTCAACATATATACATATATATATATATGTGTGTGTGTGTGTGTGTGTGTGTGTGTGTGTGTGTGTGTGTGTGTGTGTGTGTGTGTGTGTGAAAAGTGTGTGTATATAAATATAAATAAATATTTATATGTATAATTATTTACGCGGTAGTTTGAAATATATGTGAAAAGTGAAAACCCAGGGTCACAAACTCACATCTATCCAACCAAATATATATATATATATATACAAGTATATATACCAGTACGTATATATATATGTATAAGTATATATAAATATATAAAAGTATATATATGCAAGTATATATACCAGTACATATATATATATATATATCAAAATGAACATTGAAGCCAACATTCAGACCCGAGTGTTAACTTCAGTGTTCACTTTTATATTTATATTTACATACGTACTATCTCTGATATTGAGCACTTTATCCCATAAATATAGTACACCTTAAAACTATATTTCTTCACACACACACATACACACACACACACACACACACACACACACACACATATATATATATATATATATATATACTTTCCTGTCCTTTTTTAGTTCTTAATAAAAAAAAATTTTATTCTAAACCTTGTTCTCCAATCCATTTACTCAAGCTCGCTCGGTAGGTTATGCGTTGTCTTTCTTGCATTCAATCTGTCCTGTGAGTATCAAGTTTTCTCAGCCCCCTTTCCTCAATATGTTCCCTAGAAATTTCAACTCTCTTTTCCCGATATTAATTATAAATAACCTTTTTGTTTCCATTTTCTCTAAAACTTCGTCGTTACTAACATTCTCAGCATCCTTCTGTAGAACCACATTTCTGTTGATTCAAGCGTCTTCTTTGTCTGTGAGAGGATTGTCCAGCATTCGCTGCCATAAAGGAGGACTGATATTACATGACAGTTTAGTAGTTTTTTCTTTGTTTTTATCGAATTGTTCCTGTTTCATGATACTTTGCTTAGCTTTTGAAAGGCATCATTCGCTATCACAGGACGCCTTCTGTTTTCAATGTCGCACCTCTCGTCCTCTGTTAAAGCATTTCCCAGATATTTAAATGGTTGTACTTATTTCATTTTGGTATCCCCAATTTGTAATTTGCATGTTGGGCTGTCCCTTTTGCTAACAACTTTGCAATTCGGTCGTCTTGCAATTGATAATTAGTCCTTTCTTCTCGCTTTCCTTCACTACCTACTCTGGGAATACTTGACAGCAGACACGGAAAGGAATTTCTGTGTCTGCTCTCCATTCTTGAAGATTGGAATCAAGGCGATTTACTAACAAAGAAACTTGAGATGAATATACCTATAAGTGTAACGAGGGAAATCAATATGGCGGTTCAAAAGGTGATTCAGAAGAAGAGATAGTTAGCTATACAAATTTAAACATGGGTTTGAGACAGTAGAAGTGATTGGAAGACTGTGAAGCGTCCGTGGGAAATTAATTTAACGACTGGCCGTACTGCTCGAATGTGGACGAGGAGGCTTTCATCTGCACCTCGCGTAAAACAATAAGCATTAATTTATTGATCGATTTGTTTTTTTTACGACTTATCAACACTTTGCGGCTTATTTAAAGCTAGAAAATATTTTTTAGATTTTAATAACTGTTTAGTGATAATAATGATTTACTGATACAAGCCCTACTAATCAACCCATAGCTGAGGGGAGAAAAGGTGGCTTTCAATATAACGAACCTGACCGGAATTGGAACTCGGCTCTCCGATTTACGATTCGGAGCCTTTATCCATTACACCGCCTGCACATCCAAGCTTACAACACCTCGTATTCTCAAGCGGTCACTCATCCAGGTAGTGACCAGGTTTGACGTTGCTTAACTTAACTTTGGAGATCGTATGCATGGCCGGTGCGTACTACTCCCGAAACGCCCTCCCCTCGTCCTGGTGGTTGGAGGGGGGCGTCCAAGCCTAAGTGCACGCCCCAGAGAGTGACCCTCGTTATCTCATCAATTTGCTTTTTTTCTACTTACATTTATCTACGTTACAAATGGCACTAAATACAATTATTAAAGATTGAAAAAAAAATGTCGAATTTTGACGTTATCTGTGTGTGTTTTGTTTTTTATTTCGTCCAAAGTCTCGAAAAAAAAAATAAACACGATATAAAATTCACTATTTTTTATCTGCAATGTTGAATGCGTTAAAATTCTTCAACTTTTTAACAAGAAAAATCTCAAGTTGATGCCAAAAATTGCCGCGAAACATTGTTGATTTATATAAGATGTAACAATCTATTATGATATGTCTCTAATTTGTGCTTCGATACATTGCATTTATATTAAATTTTTCGAGTAGAATTTTTCACCTATATTGCATAGATCCCCCGACATTAAGGGCGAAGTATGATTGGGGACCCCGAGCAGTTCTTTTGTAACCCTAGCTATATAAGCAATATTTGCTTTTTTCTACCTACATTTAGCTAAGTTACAAAATAAACTAAACACAACTAATTATTAAAGAATGAAAAATTTTCGCGGATTTTGACGTCATTCTGACGTCTTCTGTTATTTTTCCCTCCAATTCCGTTAATTTGTTTTGCTCATCCTATGTTTAAAAAAGACACTAAATAAAATTCACTATTTTTTATCCATAATGTTGAACGTGTTAAATTATTAAATTTTTTAACAAGAAAATTCTCATGTTGATGTTAAAAATTGCTGCAAAGCATTGTTGATTTATTTAAGATGGAATGATCTATTATGACATGTCTCTAAATTCTATTTAGATACATTGTATTTATTTTCAATTTTTCTAGTTGAATTGTTCACCTGTATATGTTGTATACTCTCCCTCTTCCGGGGAGGCTCTTTTGGTTGATGCTCTTGAGGCGATCATAACAAAGATGTCTTCTCTTTCTTTTCTTGCTTCTCTCGACCGTCTTCTCCTTCAGCTGTCTTCTCCATCGACCGTCTTCTCTCTCGGCCGTCTTCTCGCTCAGCCGTCTTCTGCTTCGACCGTCTTCTCTCTTGGCCGTCTTCTCCTTCGGTCGTCTTCTCTCTCGGCCGTCTTCTCCCTGGGCTGTCTTCTCCCTCGGCCGTCTTCTCCCTCGGCCGTCTTCTCCCTCGGCTGTCTTCTCTTTCGGCCGTCTTCTCTCTCGGCTGTCTTCTTCCTCAGCGTCTTCTCCCCTGGCCGTCTTCTCCCTCGGCTGTCTTCTCTCTCGGCTGTCTTCTTCTTCGGCCGTCTTGTCCCTGGGCTGTCTTCTCCCTCGGCTGTCGTCTTCTTCGGCCGTCTTCTCTCTCGGCCGTCTTCTTCCTCAACCGTCTTCTCTCTCGCTGTCTTCTCCTTCGGCCCGTCTTCTCCCTCAGCCGTCTTCTTCCTCGGCCGTCTTCTCCCTCGGTTGTCTTCTCCTTCGGCCGTCTTCTCCCTGGGCTGTCTTCTCCCTCGGCCGTCTTCTCCATCGGCTGTCTTCTCTCTCGGCTGTCTTCTTCTTCGGCCGACTTCTCCCTCGGCCGTCTTCTTCTTCGGCCCTCTTCTCTCTCGGCTGTCTTCTCCTTTGGTCGTCTTCTCCTTGGGCTGTCTTCTCCCTCGGCCGTCTTCTCCCTCGGCTGTCTTCTCCTTCGGCCTTCTTCTCCCTGGGCTGTCTTCTCCCTCGGCCGTCTTCTCCCTCGGCTGTCTTCCCCCTCGGTCGTCTTTTCCTTCGGCCGTCTTCTCCCTCGGCCGTCTTCTCCTTCGGCTATCTTCTCTCTCGGCTATCTTCTCCATCGGCTATCTTCTCCCTCGGTCGTCTTTTCCTTCGGCCGTCTTCTCCCTGGGCTGTCTTCTCCTTCGGCCGTCTTCTCCCTCGGCCGTCTTCTCTCTCGGCTGTCTTCTATTTCGGCCGTCTTCTCCCTGCGCTGTCTTCTCCCTCGGCCCTCTACTCTCTCGGCTGTCTTCTCCCTCGGTCGTCTTTTCCTTCGGCCGTCTTCTCCCTGGGCGTTGTCTTCTCCTTCGGCCGTCTTCTCCCTCGGCCGTCTTCTCCCTCGGCTGTCTTCTATTTCGGCCGTCTTCTCCCTGGGCTGTCTTCTCCCTCGGCCCTCTTCTCCCTCGGCTGTCTTCTCCCTCGGTCGTCTTTTCCTTCGGCCGTCTTCTCCCTCGGCTGTCTTCTCCTTCGGCCGTCTTCTTCCTGGGCTGTCTTCTCCCTCGGCCGTCTTCTCCCTCGGCTGTCTTCTCTCTCGGCTGTCTTCTTCTTCGGCCGTCTTCTCCCTCGGCCGTCTTCTTCCTCGGCCGTCTTCTCCCTCGGCTGTTTTCTCCCTCGGCTGTCTTCTCCCTAGGCTGTCTTCTCCCTCGGTCGTCTTTTCCTTGGGCCGTCTTCTCCCTGGGCCGTCTTCTCCTTCGGCCGTCTTCTCCCTCGGCCGTCTACTCACTCGGCTGTCTTCTCCTTCGGTCGTCTTCTCCCTGGTCTGTCTTCTCCCTCGGCCGTCTTCTCCCTCGGCTGTCTTCTCCCTCGGTCGTCTTTTCTTTCGGCCGTCTTCTCCCTGGGCTGTCTTCTCCTTCGGCCGTCTTCTCCCTCGGCCGTCTTGTCCCTCGGCTGTCTTCTCCTTCCACCGTCTTCTCCCTGGGCTGTCTTCTCCCTCGGCTGTCTTCTCCCTCGGTCGTCTTTTCCTCGGCCATCTTCTCCATGGGCTGTTTTCTCCTTCGGCCGTCTTCTCCCTCGGCCGTCTTCTCCCTCGGCAGTCTTCTATTTCGGCCGTCTTCTCCCTGGGCTGCCTTCTCCCTCGGCCCTCTTCTCCCTCGGCTGTCTTCTCCTTCGGCCGTCTTCTCCCTCGGCCGTCTTCTTCCTCGGCTGTCTTCTATTTCGGCCGTCTTCTCCCTGGGCTGTCTTCTCCCTCGGCCCTCTTCTCCCTCGGCTGTCTTCTCCCTCGGCTGTCTTCTCCCTCGGTCATCTTTTCCTTCGGCCGTCTTCTCCCTGGGCCGTCTTCTCCCTGGGCTGTCTTCTCCCTCGGCCCTCTTCTCCCCCGGCTGTCTTCTCTCTCGGCTGTCTTCTTCTTCGGCCGTCTTCTCCCTCGGCCGTCTTCTTCCTCGGCCCTCTCCTCTCTCTCGGCTGTCTTCTCCCTCGGCTGTCTTCTCCCTCGGCTGTCGTCTTCTTCGGCCGTCTTCTCTCTCGGCCGTCTTCTTCCTCGGCTGTCTTCTCTCTCGGCTGTCTTCTTCTTCGGCCGACTTCTCCCTCGGCCGTCTTCTTCTTCGGCCCTCTTCTCTCTCGGCTGTCTTCTCCTTTGGTCGTCTTCTCCTTGGGCTGTCTTCTCCCTCGGCCGTCTTCTCCCTCGGCTGTCTTCTCCTTCGGCCTTCTTCTCACTGGGCTGTCTTCTCTCTCGGCTATCTTCTCCATCGGCTATCTTCTCACTCGGTCGTCTTTTCCTTCGGCCGTCTTCTCCCTGGGCTGTCTTCTCCTTCGGCCGTCTTCTCCCTCGGCCGTCTTCTCTCTCGGCTGTCTTCTATTTCGGCCGTTTTCTCCCTGCGCTGTCTTCTCCCCTCGGCCCTCTACTCTCTCGGCTGTCTTCTCCCTCGGTCGTCTTTTTCCTTCGGCCGTCTTCTCCCCTGGGCGTTGTCTTCTCCTTCGGCCGTCTTCTCCCTCGGCCGTCTTCTCCCTCGGCTGTCTTCTATTTCGGCCGTCTTCTCCCTGGGCTGTCTTCTCCCTCGGCCCTCTTCTCCCTCGGCTGTCTTCTCCCTCGGTCGTCTTTTCCTTCGGCCGTCTTCTCCCTCGGCTGTCTTCTCCTTCGGCCGTCTTCTTCCTGGGCTGTCTTCTCCCTCGGCCGTCTTCTCCTCGGCTGTCTTCTCTCTCAGCTCTTCTTCTTCGGCCGTCTTCTCCCTCAGCCGTCTTCTTCCTCAACCGTCTTCTTCCTCAGCCGTCTTCTCCCTCAGCTGTTTTTTCTCCCTCGGCTGTCTTCTCCCTAGGCTGTCTTCTCCCTCGGTCGTCTTTTCCTTGGGCCGTCTTCTCCCTGGGCCGTCTTCTCCTTCGGCCGTCTTCTCCCCTCGGCCGTCTACTCACTCAGCTGTCTTCTCCTTCAGTCGTCTTCTCCCTGGTCTGTCTTCTCCCTCAGCCGTCTTCTCCCTCAGCTGTCTTCTCCCTCAGTCGTCTTTTCTTTCGGCCGTCTTCTCCCTGGGCTGTCTTCTCCTTCAGCCGTCTTCTCCCTCAGCCGTCTTGTCCCTCGGCTGTCTTCTCCTTCCACCGTCTTCTCCCTGGGCTGTCTTCTCCTCGGCTGTCTTCTCCCTCAGTCGTCTTTTCCTCGGCCATCTTCTCCATGGGCTGTTTTTTTTCTCCTTCGGCCGTCTTCTCCCTCGGCCGTCTTCTCCCTCAACAGTCTTCTATTTCGGCCGTCTTCTCCCTAGGCTGCCTTCTCCCTCAGCCCTCTTCTCCCTCAACTGTCTTCTCCTTCGGCCGTCTTCTCCCTCAGCCGTCTTCTTCCTCAACTGTCTTCTATTTCGGCCGTCTTCTCCCTGGGCTGTCTTCTCCCTCGGCCCTCTTCTCCCTCAGCTGTCTTCTCCCTCGGCTGTCTTCTCCCTCGGTCATCTTTTCCTTCGGCCGTCTTCTCCCTGGGCCGTCTTCTCCCTGGGCTGTCTTCTCCCTCGGCCCTCTTCTCCCCAGCTGTCTTCTCTCTCCCTGTCTTCTTCTTCGGCCGTCTTCTCCCTCGGCCGTCTTCTTCCTCGGCCCTCTCCTCTCTCTCGGCTGTCTTCTCCTTCGGCCGTCTTCTCCCTCGGCCGTCTTCTCCCTCGGCTGTCTTCTATTTCGGCCGTCTTCTCCCTCGGCTGTCTTCTCCCTCGGCCCTCTTCTCCCTCGGCCGTCTTCTCCCTCGGTCGTCTTTTCCTTCGGCCGTCTTCTCCCTGGGCCGTCTTCTCCCTGGGCTGTCTTCTCCCTCGGCCGTCTTCTCCCTGGGCTGTCTTCTCCTTCGGCTGTCTTCTCCTTCGGCCGTCTTCTCCCTCTGCCGTCTTCTCCCCCGTCTGTCTTCTGCTTCGGCCGTCTTCTCCCTCGGCTGTCTTCTCCTTCGGGCGTCTTCTCCCTCGGCCGTCTTCTCTCTGGGCTGTCTTCTCCCTCAGCTGTCTTCTCCCCCGGCTGTCTTCTTCTTTTGCCGTCTTCTCCCTCGGCTGTCTTCTTCTTCGGCCGTCTTCTCCCTCGGCCGTCTTCTTCCTCGGCCCTCTTCTCTCTCGGCTGTCTTCTCCCTCGGCTGTCTTCTCCTTCGGCCGTCTTCTCCCTCGGCCGTCTTCTCTCTGGGCTGTCTTCTCCCTCAGCTGTCTTCTCCCCCGGCTGTCTTCTCCTTCCGCCGTCTTCTCCCTTGGCTGTCTTCTTCTTCGGCCGTCTTCTCCCTCGGCCGTCTTCTTCCTCGGCCCTCTTCTCTCTCGGCTGTTTTCTCCCTCGGCTGTCTTCTCCCTCGGTCGTCTTCTCCCTCGGCCGTCTTCTCCCTCGGCTGTCTTCTCCTTCGGCCGTCTTCTCCCTCGGCCGTCTTCTCCCTCGGCCGTCTTCTCCATCGGCCGTCTTCTCCATCGGCCGTCTTCTCCTTCGGCCGTCTTCTCCCTGGGCTGTCTTCTCCCTCGGCCGTCTTCTCCCTCGGCTGTCTTCCCCCTCGGCCGTCTTCTCCCTCGGCTGTCTTCCCCCTCGGCCGTCTTCTCCCTCGGCTGTCTTCTCCTTCGACTGTCTTCTTCCTCGGCTGTCTTCTCCCTCGGCTGTCTTCTCCCTCGGCCGTCTTCTCCCTTGGCCGTCTTTTCCCTGGGCTCTCTTCTCTCGGTCAAGTGAACGCCAGTTCATTTGTTCAGAGATAAATATGAGAACTTCAACAAAATGAATTTTAAACTTATCTATTTTATTAACACATCAACGTGTACATCTTCTATCTAGCCAGTGGGGTTGCAATCCCATCCCACTGGAGAGCGCTTTTCATACACGAAAATAACACGTCTGCATTCTACGACGTGTAAAACTTAACTCCTTGAAAACACTTTCTAAGTCTAACATTCCCACATTCGGCTCAGCCAATCAAAATCCACATCCCTATTTTGTCTATCAGCTGATCTTAAAGTCAGCCTCAGAGTGCCTGAGCCAAATACACTGCCACTAAATAATAATAGTCTGAAACTATTATTCAACATATATATGAGGTGGGAAGCCTGATTGGGGACTCCGGATAGTTCTTTTGTAACCCTCGTTATCTAGACAACATTTGCTTTTTTCTACCTACATTTAGATAAGTTACAAATTAAACTAAACACAGCTGACTAATTATTAAAGAATGAAAATTTTTCGCGGATTTTGACGTCATTCTGACGTCTTTTGTTATGTTTTCCCTCCAATTCCTTGAATTCGTTTCGCTCATACTAAGTCTCCAAACAAAAAAGCACTATTTAAAATTCACTATTTTTTATCCATAATGTTGAACGTGTTAAAATTTTTCAATTTTTTAACAAGAAAAATCTCAAGTTGATGTTAAAAACTGCCAAAAACATCGTTGATTTATTTAAGGTGGAACGATCTATTATGACATGTCTCTAAAGTCTTTCTAGTTGAATTCTTCACCCATATTGCGTATGATCCATTTAGAAGTCGGCAACCTTTTCCTATGTGCCGACTTAAAATCATTCCGTGGGCCAACAACACACGTATTTTTATACAAGTCAAAGTCAATATACCTGTTCTACAATATCTTTTATATAGTAATATATAGTACATATAATTTAGTATATATTAAAGTAGAAACAAAATAAATATCTTCTTTGAATTGTAGTAGTTATTGCTTCGGACTTCGTGATGTCATTTGCATGCTATTGGAAATTGCTTGGCGTGCCACGTGTGGCACCCGTGCCTTAGGTTTTCGGCCACTGCATTATAAATTATTGTACATATATTTCATATGAATACTACCTTATGAAAATTGAGATCTAGTAAAAGTGGTGGGTGTGGGTGTATTATAGATTCGTGAGTGGGTATCATAGATTCGGAAGGGCGTATCATAGATTCGGGAGGGACACGAGACACTTGCACCGGCACTGATCGTACGAGAGGCGGTGTTTTCAACATGATATGGCTGTAAGCCTAATAAGCATTGAGAATGTCGAACTGATGGCTTGTACTGAAACCCATCCGTTTCAAACGTTTCAGCTGATTGCACAACGGTTCAACAAGTACAAACAAGTCGTCTGCATCAAAAAAAAAAAGATATAGAGAGAAGAGAAAACCGTTAGAAATATTAACTCTCTCTCTCTATATATATATATATATATTGTGCGTGTGTGTGTGTGTGTGTGTGTGTAGGTGTGTTGCGGTCGAAAATTGATCGATGCCTGATGAGGAGGATTTGTGACTCATCACTGAAGTAAGGAATGAAATGGGTCACCGATTGCCTACTAATCAATGCATCGCCACAACACGGTCGCCATTTTCTATTATGGCTGAATTCTGCTTCTATGGAATGACACTCATTTAATACTTCCTGTCTTTCTTATTCCTTTCACTTTCTTCCATTTTCTCGCTTGATCTATCTTTTCTTTCTTTCCTTTTTTTTCTTTTCCTTTCAACTTACTGTTTCTGATCTTTGCTGAATTTCTTTCTTTCTTTCATTTCGATATTCTACTACATTATTTCTTTCCATTCTTTCTTTCTTCCTTTTTCATAGTCTAATCCATTCTTTCTTTCTTTTTTTCTTTTCAATATTCTCTTCTTTATTTCTTTTTGTAATTCTTTTCGCTTTTCAATTATATTATTTCTTTCTATTCTTTCTTTGTTTTTTTTCCTTTTTCATATTCTATTCCATTATTCATTTCTTTTCGATATTGTATTCGATTCTTTCTTTCTTTCTTTCTTTATTCTTTCTTTATTCTTTTTTTCTTTTCTATATTCTATTCCATTCTTTCCTTCTTCCTTTCTTACTTTTTTGATATTCTATTCCATTCTTTCTTTCTTTCTTTCTTTTCGATGTTCTATTCCATTCTTTCCTTCTTTCTTTTTCTCTCTTTTCAATATCCTATTCCTTTATTATTTTCTATTCTTTCTTTTTTTATATAGTCTATTGTATTCTTTCTTTCTTTCTTTTCCATATTCTATATCATTCTTTCTTTTTTCTTTCTTTTTTCTTTCTTTTTTGATACTCTATTCCACTGCATCTTTCTTTTCAATATTCTATTATTTCTTTCGATGTTTTATTCTATTTTTCCTTCTTTCTATTCTTCATTTTTTCATTACGTCTTTCTATCCCATTCTTTTTTCTCTTCGATATTCCATTGCTTTTTTCTTTCTTTCTTTCTTGTTTTCAACATAGTATTCTTCCGTTCTTTCTTTCTTTCATCCATTCTTTCCTTCTTTCCTTCTTTTCGTTATGCTATTCCATTATTTCTCTACATTCTTTCCTTCTTTCTTTCTTTCTTTTTTCTTTCTTTTCGTTTTCCTATACCATTATTTTTCTCCATTCTTTCCTTCTTTCTTTCTTTCTTTGTTTCTTTTCGTTATGCTATTCTTCTTTTTTCTTCACGGCTTTCTATTCCATTCTTTCTTTTTTCTTTTTTTTTTGTTTTCAATATAGTATTCCGATCTGTCTTTCTTTCTTTCTTTCTTTTCGTTATCCTATTCCATTGTTTCTCTCCATTCTTTCTTTCTTTCTTTCTTTCTTTCTTTTTGAAATCCTATTGCATTTTTACTTCTTTTTTTTCAATATTCAATTCTTACCTCATTCTTTTTTTGCTTACTTTTTTTCTCTCTCACTCATTTTCTTTCTGATTTCTTTCTTCTTTTCTTTCTTTTTTCTTTTTTCTCTCTCATTTTTTTTCTTTCATTGCTATTTCCTTCCGTCTTTCTTCTTTAATATTCACATATTTATTTCTTTGCTATTTCATTCAATTCTTCCTCGTATATTTCCTTTTTTTATCTTTCATATTTCTTTTCATTAATGGTTTTTTTTTAGGGTTTTTTTTTTTTTTGCAATTCTTCGTCCTTGTTTTTTTCTTTCTACTTTTTTTCCTTTCTTTTTTTTTTACTGCATTTCTTTCTTTGCTTCTTTCTTTCGTCGTTCTTCTCATCCCCTCCTTTTTTATTTGCTACTCTTTTCCCTGCCTTCTTCTTTTTTTTCATTGTTATTCTCTTTCATTCCTTATTTCTTTCGTTGCTAACTTTTATTCATTTCTTTCTTTCATTAATATTTTTTTCTTTGTTTGTTTGTTCCTTTCATCGCTAATTTTGTGTTACTTAAGGCGACTGGTCCACTCCTAAAAAACAAAAAGAATAGGGATTTTTTTTTAGGGGTAATATTTTCTTTAGATTAGCATTCATAAAAACCTTCCTCAAGCCACGATGTTTGTAAGAATCGAAAAATATTACTTATTTTGTGATCATTTTAGATTGGCTTCCCATTTATAATATCGATACAGGATAAAATTGATCCCTGATTTTTTTACGCTGATACATATTCTCCTCTACCTTTATAAGAGTCAGATCAGGACGAAAATGGAGTATTGTTGCCATATTTGAGCAGGAGCTACCCAGACGTCACTTTCCAGTCTCGGGAGAGTTCAAAAAAACCAAGTCATATCGGGAGAATAATTATTTATCCCTGCTCCAACCTCTTTGTCACAGGCGAAGATATGGCTACTCTCTCACTGCTTTATCACTACTAACATGGAAAGTGTTCAAACGAACTGCATCTTCTAGTTCCACCAGATCTGACCTTCACATCTAGGACCCGTCATGCCACTTACATAGCACCCAAACCACCCACATTCCCCCAGAATTCCATCGGCGAGAAGTAAGTTCCACTCAAACAGCTTCTTTCCGCAAACCACTCTATGGAACAGACTCTCTAGAGCAGGAGTCGGCAACCTTTTCCTATGTGCCGACTTAGGGATTTAAAATCATTCAGTGTGCCAACAGCAGACGTATTTTTATACAAGTCAAGGTCAATATACCTGTTCTACAATAGATTTTATATAGTAATATATAGGATATATACTTTAGTATATATTAAAATTGAAACAGCTAAATATACAGTGCTGTTCGATAAAAGTGACTCACCTTTTTACTTAAAAATTTATTTTTGTGGTCAAACTAATTTTTAATCTTACTAATATAAAGACCCCTTCCCCACCACCTAGTAAAAAGTTTATTCATCCTAAGGTATTCTATTGAAAATTATAATTTTGGATATAAATGAGATTTAGGGAAAAATCTGTGCAAAAAAGTGACTCACTTATTTCCTGCAACTAGTAATCAATAGAAACAACCAAACAGCTTTAAATAAAGAATAATAAAGGTATAATTTATTTATAATAGGTAATATAGTTCGAAATATTTAATAAGCTGTTGGTCCTTCTTTATTTTGAATAACTTTTTCAACCCTTTTTGGCATTGACTTGATTAGGTTCTGGCAAATCTCATCTCCAAGCATTGAATTCCATTCGGATATGAAATTCACAATCAAATCCTCTTTGTTGCGCAACTGCTTTCTCGAGAGCCTGTACTTTATAATGCTCCATAAGTTTTCTATGGGGTTGAGCTCAGAAGATTGGGGCGGCCATGTCATAACACTCACCTGCTTCTCATCAAAGTATTCCTTCATCAATTTTGATTTGTGACAGGGAGCATTATCCCGCATAAAAATGAGCTTGGTGGGGTCGATTTGCACCCTTTCAGCAGAAGGGAGCAGACAAGACTCTAAAATTCTCTTGCACTGAGGGTCTTTTCAGTAGGTTTTAAGAAACCAGTTCCATGAAAAGAAAAGCATCCCCAGAACATTATACTGAACGGATGCTTGACAG